CACGGACCGCGAGATCGTGACCTGGCTGAAGTCGGACGCTTAACCGACTGCGCCACCCAGGCGCCCCTGGAAGTTGACGTTTAAAAAGTAACGTCGCAGGGGTGCCTGGATGGCTCAGTCGGTTAAGCCCGGGACTCGTGGTTTTAGCTCAGGTCATGATCTCATGATTGTGAAATGGATCCCAGCGTCACAGTGCTCTGCTCTGACAGTGCAGAGCCTACCTGGGATTCTCTCTCTCTCTCTCTCTCTCTCTCTCTCAAAATCAACTTAAAAAAAAAAAAAGTAATGTCGCAAAGGCAGGTTGTCTGTTGTAACCTGAAATAATCTAGTCTACCTTGTTGACAGAGAGAGTGAGGGAATGGGGAAAGTCAGGAAAGGCCTCGATCAGACCCTGCCCCTAGCAGGTGCTCAATAAATGGGTTAAAGTAAGGTTCAACCCAACAGTATCTTCCGCTGTCTTTTGCAAATCCTCACATCCTGAATGTGGCCGTACATGGTGCACACATCCTTGCCACGTATGCCTTATCCCTACTTGGAATTCTGCCTCCAATCCTCTTCCCACTTTGCTGGCTGTAAATTCCGGACACGATGCAACCTGGGAGAAAACCGACGGAGCAGGCAACAGTAAACACGGCCTAGCGCAGCCGCCTTGCAGCCACCTTGCAGTCACCAGCCACGCGCGGGTCACGCCCTCACCCAGTGCGCTGCTGGGCCGGCGCATGCGCGCGCTGGAAGCTGTTGTCCCGGGGACTCCCGCCCCTAAGGAGCGAGGGGAGGGGCCGGAAGCACCTCTACGCTTCCCGGTTGCTAGGAGACGGGGCTTCTACACGCCACACACAGGTTCTCCGGCTTCTTTTCCTCCCTTTCTCTGCTTCAGCGTCACCGCATGCGGTCACCATGTCGGACCCAGAAGCTGACACCTTGCGAAGCACCTTTCCCTCTTACATGGCGGAAGGCGAGCGGTTGTATCTGTGCGGGGAGTTCTCTAAAGCTGCCCAGAGCTTCAGCAATGTGAGTCGCGCTCTGAACGTACCGATTACCCATCACCCCTTCTAATTCCCGGTGACACTGAGGTCCCCGTAGTGCTGGAGGACCCTATTGTTTCTATGATTCAATTGTGCCTAATTGACGCACTACTGGCACCGCTCGGCCATTTTCTACCAATTCTCACTTGCCTTCTGCTGTTAATAACCATTCTCTGCATTAACAGTGACTTCTACTTTTTGCTGAATGTTTTGTGACTCACTGGCCTCTTTCCACAGAGCAGCCTTTATTACCCTTGGAGGCTGCATGTACAAGTGGTGCAATCTCTGGCACACAGTTGCTCACAGATGGTCAGTATATCACTAACATTGTACATAACCTTGGTATGACTCGATCCACCCCGTCCTACGGTGCTAAGCACAGTATGACCCTATGAGGGAGGTTCTGTTATGAATCCATTTTATGGACGAGGAAACTGATGTAGAAGTGGATTACATGTCCGAGATTCACTGAACTGGCAAGAGAAAGGATTCAAACCCAGGCAGTCAGATTCCAGTGCTAGATACTAACCACCACACATACTCCCTCACAAGGAAGCTGTTAGATGTTCTTACCACAATTTCTTTTACAACCAATCCTTCTTATTCCAAAGGGAGTGGCAGGATAGCCCTCTAACCAGTCCCAAGACTCCCCCTAAAGTCAAGCTTCTCCACTGCTACCCAAAGTCTTTTGTCCCTTTGGCTCACCAACCACACCCTAAAACCAGAACTGGTTGGCCAGATGGGTTAAGGGTTGAGTTCAGGATCCCTGCCTCCACCCAGTCTCCTCTTTCAGGATCGCATTCCATCCTGGAGAAGCTCAGGCAGAGTGAAAAGAACACCCTGAGGGAAAATAGCTTTGGTTGAGAAGTAGCCTTCTTCCGGAAAAGCCAGTAGCTGCTTCCTGTAAAAAGTAGGTCTTAGAAAGGTGTGAGTACAGTCTGATGCCTCAGGAAGGACAGTACGTCAAAGCACCTATGATGATTTCAGACAGAAGAGAGGACATGGGGAGAAGTGTTCCATTCTCGCCTTACTCCCCAAATCACAGTTTTAGTTTTGCTAGCATTTTCATCTTGATCTCCTGAAATAGTGATTCCTTCTCAATAAGGGAGTAAGGAAGAGAGAGTTGGGGAATGGATGCCTCAAGTGGCAGGTGTCCTAAAACCCATTTCGTTAGCCTTCAGAGTGCTTAGCCTCACACATGTATTTTGAGTGTAGTGCAGCCTTTTGAGGTTTGTAGGTGAACTCAGTAGGCGCAAAAAAATCCTAAGCTTCTGTCACCTGAGTGGACCGGAGGAATCCGAGATGTTTTGGGGAAATTCTATATATCCACAGAGTGGTATCTGCATCTTTCTCAGCCAGTCGCTTCCACAACAACTAGTGATTTGACCTTGTCTGAGAGGAGCTACATGCAGACAGTCAAGTTGGCGGAGCGAAGATCAGTGTTATGCTGCTTCTGGTCTGATCAGATCCAGAGACATGTTTGCTGGCCTGAGGAATCCCCCCGGAAGCCCTGGCAGGAGGGTTTGGGAGGCCCTTTCTGGTCCCGCTTCTACCTCGTGCTGCCTGGTGCCTGTCGACCTGGGTGGTTCGTTTCTTAGGCTCTTCACCTTCAGAATGGAGATAAGAACTGCCTGGTTGCCCGGTCCAAATGCTTCCTGAAGATGGGAGAGTTGGAGAAATCCCTGCAGGATGCTGAGGCTTCGCTCCAGGGTGACCCGACTTTCTGTAAGGTGACTTTACGTATGGGTGGGAGGACTCAGGCTAACCAGATTGCCTAGGGTTTGATGCCGTTTTCTCGCCTTAGGTCACTTACCTAGCTACCTGCCCCTGCATCCCAACCTGGATCCTCAACCCAGGACCCTCTCTGTTCCACCACGCCTAAGTCCCATAAAGCCTTGTCTGTCCACCTCAATTTGACTTCTCTCATTTCAGGGGATTTTACAAAAGGCTGAGACCTTGTACACCATGGGGGACTTTGAGTTTGCGCTGGTGTTCTATCATCGAGGCTACAAGTTGCGGCCTGACCGAGAATTCAAAGTTGGAATTCAGAAAGCCCAGGAAGCCATCAACAACTCAGTGGGAAGTGAGTGACCATTGGACCTGTGCCCTTATCCAGGGAGGCTCTTGGAATCCTTAGGCTTGGAGATACGAGTGAGCAGCCACCACCAGGCCTGCAGGGAGCATGCTTGGATTTAGCTGCTGCTGATTTTGTTGGAGATTAGGAACTGTCTACCCAGAGGACCAGCTCCTGAGCCACTGTGCTCAGCGCTGCAACTTCTGGTTCTCCTCCAAGCCAGATGAGAAGGCTGTTCACATTAGGCCTGTCTTTGGCCTGGTTTCATAGGGTAGGTTGGGGTTCTGAGCATAGCCTGCCCTAGGACCTGGCCTCCTCTCTTACCACATCTGCACCAAGGACTGGACTTACCTGTCAGGTTGGTGGCAGGGGGAGGAGGGAGGAGAGCACGAGTTTGCCTCCTTGGGTGGGCGGCAGAGTGTGGAAATGCCTGGGGATAGAGAACTCCTCCAGTGCTTAGGGACTGCCTTCCTTTGGAAATTTGGCGGCCTTGGCCTTGGGCTAGAGGGGGGTGCCCAGCTCTTAGGAGGCTGTTATTCCTTCCAAGCACCCGGGTACCATTAACCTGCTGGGCTCGCTCAGAGCCAGCTTTGCCACAACCTCCACCACCCCCTGCCAAAGACAGCCATTTCTACATAAAAGTAGGTGATAGATCATGCCTGAGGGCCTGGCAGACCTGAGCCAGACTTCTCTCCTTGCAGGTCCTTCTTCAATTAAGCTGAAGAACAAAGGGGACGTCTCCTTCTTGAGCAAGCAGGCTGAGGTGAGGGCCTTGGTTCTGACACCACAGCCCGCCCAAGGAGAAGCCCACATGGGCCTGAGCAGCACAGGTCTCGGTGGCCTTCTTACCTGGGGACGGTCAGCTCCTGCCCATCACGGGCGGCCATGGGTTTCTGCCCCGGCCCCAGAGCAGTCTTGTTCCCAGGCCAGACACACTCCGTGGTTCTGGGCGCACAGAGAGGGCCCTGGAGGAGATGTCTGGGATCATAGACTCTGGGGCCATGACTGGGTACTCTGTGATCCCTGTTGAGGCTCTGTCGGGTGTCACTCCATCTTCCCAGAGTATGAAAGCCCAGCAGAAGCCTCATCCCATGAGACACCTCGTACACCACCCCAAGATAGAGTCCAAGCGGAAGGGCTCGTTGAAGAGTGAGAAGATTGTCCGCCAGCTCCTGGGCGAGCTCTACGTGGACAAGGAGTATCTGGAGAAGCTCCTTTTGGATGAAGGTTTCAGACACTTTGTTTGCGACAGGGAACTTGGGGCAGAAGAAATCTGGGACGGGTGCTTAATGCACGAGCGGGAGACAGAGCCTGTCGTGCAACATGAGCCGATATGCTCCTATGGACAGGTTTTCCTAGCGTTCTCATTTACAGATGAGGAAACTCAGGTGCAGAAAGGTTAAGTAACTCACCTAAGGTGGCGCATAGGTAAACAGTGGACTTGAATCTTAAGACGTCCAATTTCAGAACCAGTGCTCTTGGCATTATGGTGCCCTGCGAGGGAACACCAGAGATGTGGGTCCTTGGAGGGGCATCCTCGGAGCCTTCAATTTGTACAACGGGCAAAGGAATCTAGCTGGGACTTGCTGGGGGGAAATCCTACGATACTAGTACTCGAATGTTCTGAAACCTCATCTGGTCTAATCCCCCCTTTTATAGATAAGGAAAGAGAGACCCTGAATGGGGAGTAACTTGTCCAAGGTGACAAGCAAGTTCATGGCAAAGTTGGCACCAGAGGCCGGCCTCCTAACCTCAGGTCCAGCGCTCTTTCCACCATACTGTGCTGGCGGTGGCAGAAAATAGGGCAGAGCCTTGAAATGAAATGGGAGGGTGGGAGTCTTGCCGTTAGCTGATAAGCCTAAGCAGGATTCATCCTTGAATCAAATGCCTTTTCTCCAGAACTGACTTCCTGAGGGCATCTGCAGAACGCCCTGCAGGTCTGTGTCTCGAGCAGCTTCACTGCTGGCCCATCTCTGAAAGAGGCCTGAAAACTTCCTTCCCTCCAGAGGATCTTCTGTGGAGGAAGGGGTAGCCTGAAAATTATCCCCAAGAAGCCCTGCAGTTTTGCTACCAGCTCTAACCTCGGATCAGGCAGGCGGGCAGAGCCTGGGCACGCCCCCACTCCCCCACCCCGGCTCCCAGCTTGCACTTGACCCACTGGCACCTGGGGAATCACTTGGCACTGGTAACCTGGACCAGGTTGTGCATTCATACTTAGTCTTCTCAGAGGACACAACCTGAAATAAGGGAGCCCTGCGGGTTGGGGTCCTTTCAGAAAGCTATCCGCCAGCTGCCCCTTCTGCTAGCTCCTTCTATCTTGCCATAAGACGCCTGTGCACTGAATTCGGCACCCTGGGAGTGCCTGGAAAGGGGGCTCTGGCCTCACCTGGGTCCACATAGAGCTACTCTGTCACCTATGTGCCCTTGCTTTCTCCAACTCAAAACAGAGAGCCCCACAGGGGCCCCCGCAGCAAGGATCCCCAGCCAAGAGGAGGTAGCTCCCTTACATGCCTGTTCTAGTTGGTTTCTCCTCACACCCTTCTCCCCAGACCTGATCAAAGGCACCATCAAGCACGGCCTGACCGTGGAGGACCTCATCATGACAGGCATCAACTATCTGGACACCCGCAGTAACTTCTGGAGACAGCAGAAGCCCATCTATGCCAGGGAGCGGGACCGGAAGCTGATGCAAGAGAAATGGCTGCGAGACCGCAAACGGCAGCCCTCACAGACAGCCCGCTACATCCTCAAGAGCCTCGAGGACGTTGACATGTGTGGGTAGTGTTCTTGGAAGGGCGAGGCCTTCGCCAGGCGGTGGAATGCAGCACTGTGGCCTGAGACCCTGGTTTCGCTGGCCTGTGGATGGTATCCCCTGTGGGGAGGTGGGTTCTCCCCTCAGCCTGAGGAGGCTGCTCCCGCCTCCATGTCCCCTGTTCCCCTTCCTAGTGCTGAGCAGCGGCAATGCTGAAGGGAGCCTTCAGAAGGCTGAGAAGGTGCTGAAGAAGGTGCTGGAATGGAACAAAGAGGAGGTGCCCAACAAGGATGAGCTGCTTGGAAACTTGTACAGCTGCATAGGGAACGCCCAGATTGAGCTGGGGCAGATGGTCGCAGCCCTGCAGAGCCACCGGAAGGACCTGGAGATCGCCAAGGAACAGTGAGTGTCCAGGAAAAGCTGAGCGGCTGAGGCCCGTGGGCCTGCAGACGAGGGGGGCAGGGGCCGTGCCTGGCCTTTTGCCAGGACTGCTGGCGGGTGAACTCCTAGGACCGAGGCTAAGAGGCGGACCTAGACTGTCAGCTTTTTTGCCACAAAGAGGAAGGAAGTGGCCCCAATGCCAGAAAGCTCCCAGAGGTTTGGCTCTGAGGGGTATTTCTATTCTTTATTTTTTTAAGTTTTTATTTATTTATTTTGAGAGAGAGAGAGAGAGAGAGAGAGAGAGAGAATGAATCCCAAGCAGGCTCCACACTGTCAGTGCAGAGCCAGACTCGGGGCTCTATCTCACGAACTGCAAGATCATGACCTGAGCCGAAATCAAGAGTGGGTGGCTTAACCGACTGAGCCACCCAGGTGCCCCAAGGGTATTTCTGTTCTTAAATCATCTCAACAAGCGTATATCAACCCCAAACTTGCCACATGTTGCTAGCATTAAGAACACAGCAGTGACCCAAAATAAGGGTCATCTCCCTGCAGATGTAAAACAAAAAAATGACATAGCTAATAAATGGTAATTGTGAGACGTGTCACAAAGGAGAAGTACAGGACTCAGTGCTATGAGGAGTATATTCTAGGAGGATAGGACTGGGCCCTGGGGAGCACACTTGGTCTGTGGGAGGACCCTGAAGGAGGCCGATGGAAGCTTGATGCTGGAGAGCACAGAGTATTGCCAGGGGAAGAGTGACCAAGAGGAAGCCAGGCGAAATGGCAGGGGTCAGATCGAGCAGGGTCTTGGAAACTATGGTGCTGACCAAGAGCACAGGGCTCTAGAGTCCGCCTCACCTGGGCTTTGGAATTGTACCTCGCAGCCAAAACCGCAGCCGTGGGGCCTGAGGCAAGGGACTTCCCCTGTCCCAGCTGGGTGTCCTCTGTCAATGGGCATAACAGCCCCTTCGTGATAGAGGGGAAGGAAGAAACCACGCAGAAGTCCATGTAAAGATCTCAGGATAGTGCCAGGTATCCATAATAGTACGAATACCAGTATCAGCTCTTCCCAAGACTTGAGGGTCCCTCTCAAGGTGCCATCAGTTTCCAGTCATCCTGAATCTAACCTGTAGAGCCCTCCATGACGTTCCCCTGCTCGGTTCCCATTTGCCCACAGTCTGAGCCTCTCTCCCACCTCCCATTATCCATTTCCGGTCACAGGTCAGGGGCTCGGCTGTCTCTGCCTCCAGCTGCTCCCACACCTCACCTCCAGCGACCTGCATTTCATCCCCCAACCCTTCTAACCCTGTTGACACACTGGCCTTGGCCCCTTGTTGTCTGCGGGTTCAAACCACCTGCCTTCACTTGGCACCCAAGGCCTCTTGTGAACCCACTTCTGCACAGTGCTCCCTGTCACTCCTCCATTTGGGTCAAACCCTATTTCTTCTTCTTCTTCTTCTTCTTCTTCTTCTTCTTCTTCTTCTTCTTCTTCTCCTCCTCCTCCTCCTCCTCCTCCTCCTTCTTCTTAAAAAATCTTTTAGGGGCGCCTGGGTGGCGCAGTCGGTTAGGCGTCAGACTTCAGCCAGGTCACGATCTCGCGGTCCGGGAGTTCGAGCCCCGCGTCAGGCTCTGGGCTGATGGCTCAGAGCCTGGAGCCTGTTTCCGATTCTGTGTCTCCCTCTCTCTCTGCCCCTCCCCCATTCATGCTCTGTCTCTCTCTGTCCCCCAAAAAATAAATAAACGTTGAAAAAAAAACTTCATTATTAAAAAAAATAAATAAAAAATAAATAAAAAAATAAAAAAATAAAAAATCTTTTAATGTTTATTTATTTTTGAAAGAGAGAGAGAAAGAGAGAAAGACAGAGTGCAAGTGGGGGAGGGGCAGAGAAAGAGGGAGACCCAGAATCTGACGCAGGCTCCAGGCTCTGAGCTGTCAGAACAGAGCCCGACACGGGGCCCACAAACCACGAGACCATGACCTGAACCGTAGTTGGACGCTCAACTGACTGAGCCACCCCGGCGCCCCTGGGTCAAACCATATTCCTTGAAGGCTCCTGCCTCCCACCCTCTCCTCACTCACCGGGGCCCCGTGTGCTATTCATTCCCAGTTCATCTCTCACTGGCCTTTGCGTACTGAGCAGAAGTATCCCATAGCGGCTGTTCTGGAAGTAGAAAACAACCCAGCAGCTTTGGAGACACGGCCGGGTTTGATTCCCAGGTTTGATTCCCGGCTCTGGCACTCTGAGGCTGTGTGGATTTGATTAAGTTGCTCATCTCCCCGGTTTGCTCATCTCTGATGAAGGCATAATAATACCGACTCAGGGACTATGAGGATGAAATGAGATATGTGTTGACAGTGCCGTGAATCCAGCTGTCTCCCAGGCCCTGAGGACTTACTTATTACCTTTGCTTCTCACCACCCCTCCCTCCCGAGCCCCAGGTCCGCATAGCCAACCGAATCCCAGGCATTTTCACTTGGGTGTCCCACAGGAATCCCAAATTTAACATGTCCAAAGTGGAACCCCTTATCTTCCTCCCCAACCTCTTGCTCCAGGGTTCTCTGTCTGCGGGGATGGCTCTCTTGGCCACTCAGTCCCCAAGAAGGAGCCCAGGCAGCTTCTCAGATTCCTCCCTCCCTTCCGTGCTCATGCCCAGCCAGCCTACGTCTCGTCTGGGCCTCCTCCTTCCTGTCTCCTCGGTGTTTTTCCATTTCCCTCCCACAGCTCAGTCCAGACCCTCCTCATTTCTAGACTGATTCCTCCATCCTGGGTTTCCTGGAGCCCACCTGGCCCTTCTGTGCAAAACAAGTCCAGTCGTGGGTCGGGATGAAGTTCCAGCTCCCAGTTCTGCTCAGCTTGGTCTGCCCTTCCTGACCTGACCTGTCCTGGCCCCAATTGACCTAGTTCTCTCCAGGCCCCTGGGCGTCTTGGGCCTCGGCCAGCACCTTGTGGCTCTGTTCCTGCGGCCCCTAAAGAGGACTTCCTTCTCTCTAGCCAGCACTTTCTTTATCAGCTCCCTCCTTCCCATCCTTCAAATTTTGTTTATTTAAGACAATTTTTTCAAGTTTATTTGTTTTGAGAGACAGCGAGCATGAGTGAGGGAGGGAGAGAGAGAATCAGAAGCAGGCTTCATGCACTGTCACTGTGGAGCCCAATGTGGGGCTTGATCCCGAACCGCGAGATCATGACCTGAGCTGAAATCAGGAGTCCACTGCTTAACCAACTGAGCCACTCAGGCACAGGCACCACCACCCCCTTCAAATTTTAAATGTGTGTCCCCTGGGTGATATAGAAATCCCCCTTTAATGTTCCCTCTCCACACTCCATGTGGATCTTGGCTCCCCTTGGACTTTGGAAGGGACTATCATATATCCCTTTCCCTTTCCAGCAGCTGCCACTTAGTGGGCATGTGACAAATGCATGCCAAGTGGCTAAACAAATAGAGGTGTTCTTTTGATAATGTTAGGCCCTTTTTAACACCCATGAAGGGGCCTCCAGTCTCGTTTGTGAGTTCGGGTCCTCCCTCGTTGTAATCAGCAATGCCCCACATGTGCCCCCCCACCTCCAGAGCCTGCCAGCCCTCATTTCTCCCTTCAGAGACTCTAGATTGCATGCTTTATCATTGCTATTATTTCTTGTTACACGGTATTATGAATAAGTTAGCATTCATTCATTCATTCATCACACCATAGCAGAGCACCCTCTCTAAAAGGGGGAGGCTGCCATCGGGGGTGCCATCAGAGCAGCAGGTGCACAATGTGGATGAAGGTCCAAGGAGAGGCAGGTGGGAGCACTGGCGGGAGCTGAGGGGGCCTCGGAGAGGACAGGTCAACCAAGTGGACCAGCAGAGAGGGAGGAGGGCACCCTAGGCGGAGAGAGAGAAGCAGCAGGGGTGGAAGCTGCGGGGGGTGGGTCAGGACCTATGGGGAGTGGCAGTCTAGATCCCATGCTGAAGAGGACTGAGGGCCGAGTCTGTTTTTACACAAGTACTAATTTGAGTGTGGTACTTGGTCCAGAGCTCTGTGGCACAGAGAGCAGAACTTGGAAGTCCCCCCCTCCTCCCCCACCTCCCAGGACTATACCCCCCTCACTTCCCGGGGGTCATGTAGACATGTGGCCTTCTGGCCCCTTTGCAATATATTTACCTGTGTATTTCTGTACATAAGCACATACCTAGGATTCTCAAAACAAAAGCAACTCGTTTTTGTGGTTTTTAAAAAGCATGTGCCTTGGAAAGGGTCTCGTCCTTTAAATGGCTCCAGAGAAAGGAATTTCAGCACACAACATAATTTCTTGCACTGTGTCCCTGTGGGCAGACATGCAGGATGTTCCATTTTTGTCATCATGCACAGCAATACAGTGCAACTCGGTGCTTTTGTGTGCATGTTTCTGCGGCGAGAGCAATGGCCTGATGAGATGTGCATGTTTGAAAGGCAGGCTCTGTTCACACTGGGGAGAATGAGTCCAAGGTGCCAAGTTTCATGGGGGACACAGGAGCCCGCTGGATGGCAGGGCCTTGGGTGGGGACGAGGGAAAGAGTGGGAGGAGATGCTAGGGGTGACGGGAGCATTGGAGGAGGGTTTTCTTATTTTCTTTGTTGGGGAGGAAGTTTTTGACAGATCAGAGTGTTCGTATGGTGGTGATGGTAAGTAACCAATGTAAGGGGAACAATTGTGTTTTTCTTTATGGAAATATCTTACTCTCTTTTCTGTTGTTACAGGAATACTGTACACAATTTAAACAATATGGATAAATAAATAGTTTTCCTCATACTCCCATTTCCCCTGGGTAATCACTGTTAATAGTTAGACTTACATCCTCTCAACTTCTTTTTTTTATTAAAAAAAATAATTTTTTTTTAATGTTTATTTATTTTTGAGACAGAGAGAGACAGAGCATGAATGGGGGGAGGGTCAGAGAGAGAGAGGGAGACACAGAATCAGAAGCAGGCTCCAGGTTCTGAGCTGTCGGCACAGAGCCCGACGCGGGGCTCAAACTCACGGACCGAGAGATCACGACCTGAGCCGAAGCCGGACCCTTAACCGACTGAGCCACCCAGGCGCCCACCTCTCAACTTCTTTTAAAAATGCCCATTAAAAAAAATTTTTTTTAATGTTTATTTATTTTTGAGAGAGAGAGAGAGAGAGAATAAAGGATGGGCAGAGAGAAAAGGAGACACAAAATCCAAAGCAAGCTCCAGGCTCTGAGCTGTCAGCACAGAGCCCCACATCGGGGCTGTCACTGTCAGCACAGAGCCCGATGTGGGGCTCGAACCCACGAACCATGAGATCATGACCTGAGCCGAAGTCGGACGCTTAACCAACTGAGCCACCCAGGTGCTCATTTTAGGTGCCAAAAAATGGGCACCTGGGTGGCTCAGTCCATGCAGCATGCAACTCTTGATCTTGGGGTTGAGTTCAAGTCCCACGTTGGGTGTAGAGATTGCTTGAAAATAAAATCTTTAGGGGTGCCTGGGTGACTCAGTCGGTTATGTATCCGGCTCTGGATTTCAGCTCAGGTCCTGATCTCACAGTTCATGAGTTTGACCCCCACATCGGGCTCTGTGCTGACAGTGTGGAGCCTGCTTGGGATTCTCTCCCTCTCCCTGTCTCTGTCCCTCCCACGCATGCTTGTGCTCTTTCTTTTTCTCTCTCTCTCTCAAAGTAAATAAATAAACCTTATTAAAAAAAGAGAGAGAGAAAATCTTTTAAAAAATGCCCACTTTTTATTCATTCACTTCTTTTTTGGTGAGTGAAAATAACACACACTCATTCTCTTACAGATCTGAGGGGTAGAGTCGTAAGCCATTGTCACTGGGCCAGAACCAATGTGTTGGCAGGGCTGTGCTCCCTTTATAGGCTCTAGGGAGAATCTGTTTCCAGCCTTTTCCACCTTCTACACTTGTACTCCGTGCATTGAGCGTAACTCATCCATGGCTCCTTCCTCCATCGTCAGGCCAGGGGCACAGCATCGTGCCTCAGGCCTGCATGTTTATTTTTGGCACAAACAGGGCAATAGATCTAGTATATGCTCCTATAATCTGACTTTTTTTTTTAGGTTTATTTATTTAGTTTGAGAGCGAGACAGAGCAAGCAGGGGAGGAGCAGAGAGAAAGAGAGAGAGAAGAGAGAGAATCCCAAGCAGGCTCCATGCTGCCAGCATGGAGCCTGACTCTGGGCTCGAACTCACAAACTGTGAGATTCATGACCTGAGCCGAAATCAAGAGTCAGATGCTTAACCGACTGAGCCACCCAGGTGCCCCTATAATCTGGCTTTTTAACTTAATATGTGAGGGACTTTTTTTTTTTTATACACAAAAATTGCCAGCACTAGGGCACTGGTTTAGATTGTTTCTGATGTTTACCATTATAAAGAGTGCTTTAAAGAATGCCCTTCTCCAGGTAAATTCCTAGAAGGGAAATTGCTGCATCAAAGGACATGTGGTAAGCTCTTGAGTGATTATTCTCTGGAAAGATTCCAAAGGTGTTCATTCATGGCCACAGGGCCCGAGAGGGCCTATGTGCCACAGCCTCGCCTCCTGGATGTCATCCCTCCAACCCACCCTACCCGAGTCCTGGAGGCCAGAGGCCCTGTCTTTGCTTCTTTTCAATTCCTACAGCTCAAAGAATGGCCAACTTCTAGTGAACAACTTGTTCTGCTTCTTCCCCACAGTGACCTTCCTGATGCTAAGTCAAGAGCCCTTGACAACATCGGCAGGGTTTTTGCCAGAGTTGGGAAATTCCAGCAAGCCATCGACACGTGAGTGCTCAGGGCTGTCCCTGCCCCACCCTCGGGCCAGGATTCCCCACTTCCCACCAGACTCCCACCCAGGGGCCAGCATGCCAGGCAAAGAGGCATCAGAAGACCCAAGTTTGCCTCCAGGCTCTGCTAGGTGACCAGGGGCAAGCCGTTTTGTAAGCTCTGAGGCTCATTTGTTAATTGGCTGGAATCAGCATCTTCTCAAAATTTCCCAGTGACAAGAATCCCCTGCAGTACAGGTATATGAATATCTGTCTCTGCACTGGAAATTCTGATTCTACCGGTCTGGGTGGGAGCCCAAGAACCTGGTTTTAACAAAGCCCTCCAGATGGTTCTCACCTTGGGCAAGTTCAGGAACTGCCTGACCTTGGGGATCTCTTCTGAGGCTCTTCTGTGACTCTGGGAAGTCAACGTGGACTCTCTGGGAAGGGAGGCTGAGTTCTCCAGGTGACCCAATCACTGAAGTGTTGGTGTGCAACCCTGGGCCAACAATCTGCTCCAATGGGGCAGCTCAGCCCCGGGGAAACTCCGGAGAGAGCCTGGCCCGCCTGGCGACCAGCCTGCATGGAGAGGTTCCACGGGCCCATTCGCTTACCCCTGAGAGCAGCTGTCCTACCGGTGCTCAGTGCTGGATCGAAATAGACTCGTTCACCAGGACCCTGTGCTCCAGGCAACTTGGTTTCCTGAATGGCCCCTGGTGTCTATGTGCCAAAAGATGGAGGAGTTTGAGAGTTCACCCACCTATGTGCATCTTTTTATAAGAAAATGTTTTAGGAGCTCCTGGGTGGCTCAGTGTGTTAAGTATCAGACTCTTGGTCTCAGCTCAGGTCATGATCTCACGGTCATGAGTTCATACCCTGCATTGGGCTCTACACTGGGTGTGAAGCCTACTTTAAAAAAAAAAAAAAGAAAGAAAGAAAATGTTTTCTAGTAAATCTGTGCTTATTGTTAAAATATTAATTTGGAAAATATGGAAAAGTAGCAGAAAAACTACTCAATTTCACCCCCCCGAAGACAATGATTAATCTTGCTCTTACTTTATTGAGGTCTCGCGTTTTTTTTATTCTAATATTTTCTCGGTATTGATTTTGTCTTCTGTATACTTAATGAGATTCTTTAATGTTATTTTTATGTTATTTTTAAAGATAAAAAAATTTTTTTTATGTTTTATATTTGAGAAAGAGAGAGACAGAGACAGAGACAGCCAGCAGGGGAGGTGCAGAGAGATGGAGAAAGAATCTGAAGCAGGCTCCAGGCTCCAAGCTGTCAGCACAGAGCCCCATGTGGGGCTCGAACTCATGAACTGTGAGATCATGACCTGAACTGAAGTCAGATGCCCAACCGACTGAGCCACCCAGGCACCCCTTGAGATTTTTAAAAAATGGTTATTCATTTTTGAGAGAGAAAGAGAGAGAGAGAGAGAGCATGAGCTGGGGAGGGGCAGAGAAGAGGAAGACACAGAATCCCAAGCAGGCTCGAGGCTCTGAGCTGTCAGCACAGAGCCTGACGTGGGGCCTTGAGATTATGACCTGAGCCAAAGTTGGACACTTAACCCACTGAGACACCTGGGTGCCCCTATGTTATTTGAAACGCAAGTTTGTAAACATTATCTCCGATTGTATCGGATTCGATTCCGTAAATGTACCAAAATAGCTTTGTTAGTTTGGAAATATCTTAGCGCTTATGGCTCCATCCCCGTGTCTGAAAGAGCTGGTAGTTGGAGCACAAGTTCTGTCCTGCCCCGGGAAGGAGCCCTGGCCTCCTGTGGCCAAGTAAAGGGTTTGGGTGGAAAGAGCCGACCCTGGTTCTTCGTGTTCCCAGGTGGGAGGAGAAGATCCCTCTGGCAAAAACCACGCTGGAGAAGACCTGGCTGTTCCACGAGATTGGCCGCTGCTACTTGGAGCTGGACCAGGCCTGGCAGGCCCAGCATTACGGCGAGAAGTCCCAGCAGTGTGCTGAGGAAGAAGGGGACATCGAGTGGCAGCTGAACGCCAGCGTTCTGGTGGCACAGGCACAAGGTATGGGCGCAGAGAGGACTGCCCTACCTTTCCCAGCCCTCAGGGCCCGCTGCCATGCCATGGCCAGAAGCTTTACCATCAGTGTATCCCTGGCCAGGTTAATTTTTTTTAATGTTTATTTGTTTAAAAAAAAAATTCTTTTTAAACGTTTATTTGTCTTTGAGAGACAGAGAGAGACAGAGCACGAGTGGGGAAGGGGCAGAGAGAGGGAGACACAGAATCCGAAACAGGCTCCAGGCTCCGAGCTGTCAGCACAGAGCCCGACGCGGGGCTTAAACTCACATACCGTGAGATCATGACCTGAGCCGAAGTCAGATGCGCAACCGACTAAGCCACCCAGGTGCCCCTTAGTCTGGCCAGGTTAATTCTGACTCTGAGGGTGGACGATAAACCCCTCTGTTTTGCCCAGCGTGTGGTAAGTGCCTTCTTTAAGCTAGGCTCAGATCGAGCTTGGGGCACCCCGGAAGCTGGCCCTGCCGTCGAAGAGCTCGGCCACAGACCAGCATAGCACTGTGCCATTGTCAGAAGAGCGCCACTTCCCCCAGCCCTGGTGCTCTGTGCACATGCATTCTAGCACTTACTCACCATGTGAACCAATGACGAAGGTGTTATCTTCCTCATTTTGCACACGGTGGGAGGGGTAGGGGTAAACGAGGCGCTGAGTGGTTCAACAGGTTGCTGAGGGACCTTTACGGAGTAACGGAAATATTCTGAAAGTGGGTCATGGGGATCACACCACGCCTCCATAAAGTTGCCAAGAATCACTGAACTGTATACTTACAAATGGTGCACTTTATAATATGATAGTTACATCTCAATGAAGTCGTAAAAAGCAAGCCAGCAAGGGGCAGGGGTGAGGAGGAATAGATGAAACAAGATCGGTGGTAGCTTGATCATTGTTGAAGCTGGGTGAGTAGTGGGGGCTCATCAAACTACTCCATCTACTTCGTGTATATTTGAAATATTTCATAACATGAAGTTGAAAAAGAAATGGCTGCAGGTCACGGGTTAGGACGCAATGAAGCCGCGACCAGAGCTCAGCGCCCTGCCCCAGGTGAGCAGCTGATCCCCAGTGAGGAGGGAAATGCAGCGGGTGCTATAATCAAGGGCATCATCATTCACTCACTCGTACTGCAAATACTTCCTTGGCACCTTCTAGGCGCCAAGTTGGGCATACAGTAGGGATGACCACTGGTAACCGTTTCCTGCCTTCATGTCCAAGGAAGTCACTTTTAAGCAGAAACCTGAAGGATGAGAAGGCACCAGCTGCTCCGAGAGCTGAGGACAGAGCTTTCCAGCCAAAGGGACAGCATTTAGAAGCATTTAGGAGTTCGGCTGATTTAAAAGGCTGGGGGAGACCAGTTCCAGCTGGAGCCCCTGGGGGCCGGGGGTGGGGGTGTTGAGGGGCAGATCCACAGGGCCTCATGGGCCTCATTTACAAATCAGATTCTTCCCTAAAAATATGGGTAGAAACTTCCAGTGGAAGCTTTAAGCTGGGGGAAGGTGTGATGACTGGAGCTTTTCCTAGAACTCTTTCCTTTTCTTAGGAGGTCATGGTATAACCTCAAGGGGAAATGCAGTGTACCCGTCAGAGCTGACATTGCCCTGAGTCGACTCTCGACTCTCCACTCTCGACTCACTTGCCCCCGAGGGCCGCTGGGCCCCTCTCAGCTTCCCCTCTCTGGGATGGAAAAAATCAGATGCAGTCGCCTGGGAGCCACCGAGTTCTAGAGGCCGTGCAGCCCTGCGGGCAGAGCTTGGGCTTTGGGCATTCCAGGCTCAGAACCTTGGGGAGTTGGCCAGTCAGTCAGGGAGTGGGTTCCAGCTCCAGCACTAACGAGCTGGGTGAGTGAGCTCAGACAGCGCCACTTCCTCTCTGGGTTCAGATCACGCAGGTGCAGGGGCTGGACTCCAGCTGCTGGTCCGTGGGTCGCATCCAACCTTTTGATATTTCCGTGGCCTTCGCAGCGTTTTTGCGCAATTTGAATGAATATTTTTAAAATACGGATTTCCACTTCTGGAACAATCTTAAGTTGGGAGAAGATGGGGTTGTCCCACTGCCCTGGAGTTTCCTCTCTGACCTCTCTGAATGGCCTGCTGTCCAAGACTCAGGCTCCTAGGTTCTGGTCCTTAGTGGTGAGATGGCCCAGGAAGGTGACGGAAAGGGTGGTGCTGGCCAGTGATGCTGCCTGAGGTCTGGGGCTTCTCACTGACCCCGGAAGCAGCCAGGCAGCCGCATTGTGCAACACACAGTGTCACAATCTACCTGTGCCGTGCCTCCTCTCTGCTTTCCAGTCAAGCTGAGAGACTTCGAGTCAGCTGTGAGCAACTTTGAGAAGGCCCTGGAGAGAGCGAAGCTGGTTCATAACAACGAGGCGCAGCAAGCCATCATCAGCGTGAGCTGCCCACCCCCCTGGGCCCTGGCTGTGGGAAGGTGGGCCCTGGCTGTGGGAAGGGGTGGGTGGGCCTCAGCCCCTCAGCCCCTCAGTTAGCCAGTCTGCAGGTATTTATTACCCACCAACTGCAGGCCACATTCTAGGAGGGATAGTGGCTTTCGAATGCTTGCTACTGCCGTCAGTTTATTCAGCAACCCCGATACTCTTCTTTCTTTCTTTTTTTTAAAGTTTATTTATTTTTAAGAGAGTATGAGTGGGGCAGGGGCAGAGAGAGAGGGAGACAGAGGATCTCAAGCAGGCTCCACACTGACAGCCGAGAGCCTGATGCGGGGCTCGAACTCAGGAACCGTGAGATTGTGACCTGAACCGAAGGCAGACGCTTAGCGCCCCTATTTCTATTTGAAATAAACAATAGAGGGGCACCTGGGTGGCTCAGTCGGTTAAGCGTCCGACTTCGGCTTAGGACATGATCTCACAGCTCGTGAACTTGAGCCCTGCGTTGGGCTCTGTGCTGACAGCTCAGAGCCTGGAGCCTGCTTCAGATTCTGTCTCTCTGTCTCTGTCTCTCTCTCTCCCTCTCTGTCCCTTCCCTGCTGTGCTCTCTCTCTCAAAAATAAACATTAAAAAAAATTTTTTTTTAATTGAAGTAAATAACAGAAACGAACGTTTTACAAAACATATTTCCCATTACTATGTATGTTGATATTTCCTATTATATTCTCTTAAAGTTTTCATTTTTTCTTTAATGCTGGTTGAAATCTTCTCAGTTGATTTTGGGACTTAACAGTTTGTAAAATGCTGCCTCCTCCAGGAGACAACAAGAAATACAGTGTGACAGCCTCCCACGCCTAGACCCGCACTGCTTACTCTCATTAAGGTGGCCACCTGCCACATGCTGCTATATAGATTAAAACGCATTAAGAGTAACTAAAATGTAAAATTCAGTTTCTCAGTCACACGAGCCACATTTCAAATGCTCAGTAGCCACATGTGGCTTGCAGGTACCACATAGCGCAGATCTAGAGGATTCTCATGGTGGTGGAAATTTCTGTTGGATAGTGCCGGCCTAGACTGCAAGCTTCAGGACACAGAGACCAGAGGGGAATCCAGGGAAGTCTGCAGGTGCATCAGGCTGGCCACTGCTCCCAGAACCACTCCAGGCAAATACACACCCTCAGCAGGGTCTGTGCACCGACCCTCGACAACACAGGCAGTTTGGCATGAATCCCCTGGCCTCCCCACCTCCCACTGCCCGCCTAGGCTGCCCCATGTTGAAACTCCAGAGCTACGACCAGCAAGCACCTGGCTGGACCCCAGTAAGCATCTGCTGGTGTGAATTAAGCAGGGCCCCTGTCCCGGGGCACCTAGGTGGCCCAGTTGGTTGAACATCCGACTCTTGATCTGAGCTCAGGTCTTTTATGTATGTATGTATGTATGTATGTATGTATGTATGTGTGTGTGTATGTACGTTTATTCTCTAGAGAGAGAGAGAGAAAGACAGAGTGTGACTGGGGTTGGGGCAGGGAGAGGCAGAGACACAGAATCTGAAGCAGGCTCCAGGCTCTGAGCTGTCGGCACAGAGCCTTGATGCAGGGCTCGAATTCACAAGCCGCGAGATCATGACCTGAAGTCAGACGCTCAACTAACTGAGCCACCCAGGCACTCCTATCTCAGCTCAGGTCTTGATCTCAGGGTGTGAGTTCAAGCCCCAAGTTGGGCTCCATGCTGGGCATGGAGCTTACTTAACAACAACAACAAAAAGCAGGGCCTTGTCCTTGGGGAGCTTGCCCCCGTGGTCAGGAGAGGCCAGGCATGGTAACTAGGGGTACCATGAAGGGCATGGGTGGCCTTAGGGACCAGACTGAAGGTTCAGGCACTCGCAAAAGGGAGCAGGGACCCTGGGAAGTGACAGGCAAGGATGCTGCAGTTGGAGGCGGGTCTCATTCTGGGCTTCGAAGGACCAGGACAGCAGGGTTTGGCTGGACTGAGAAGGGGTGAGGGCTCTGAAGGCACAGGAGGCCATGGGCACTGAGGAGTCTGTGGGAGGCAGAGAAGAGGTCCTGGGCCTGGGTGCACGGGCTGGCTCACTGTGGCAGGAGTAGGGCCAGAGGACCCCAGACGGTCAGTGGACCAGCTTGGACTCGAAGGGCTGGGAATGGCAGAGGAGAGACCTGATGTACTTGGTTTTTTTAGGACTTGAGCTTGTGGTTTGTGAGGACCCTGGTGGGACTACCCCTTTCCTGTCAGGGGGAAATTGCTCCCAAGAGAGTCCACCATGAGGCAGTCTGTGCCCTCCCTTCACCTGTCCCAGGGCAGCTCAGGCCCGTCATACCGCTGTCTTCTTCCTCTGTTGGGGGGTCAACTCCCCAAATGTGCACCTTGCCCTCCAGAGGAAGAGCTCTCCAGTCACACTCATGGTTTCTCCCACTTGATGTCCTTCTGTGCGATTGCCCTGCAGATGGAGCTTGACAGTTCAGTCCAGTACATATTTGCTGACCACTAGCTAGCTCTGAGCTGCCCAGCCCAAAGGTGATAGCTATGGTCCTGGCCCTCGGGAAGCTTGCTGTCAGTGGGAAGGTTAAGGCAAAAATCCCTATTCTTGACCAGTGCTGCAGGGACCAGGGGATCTGGAGTGAGAGAGCCCAGGGCGGGAGGCAGGGCTGGGCTTTCCCATCTTGGAGGGTCTGGGGTCGCCTTGAAGGCAGGGCAGTGTTTTGAAAATGAGAGGCACGGGGAAGTCTCGGCCCTAGGTGACACCTCAGGAGACCAGGTCCCTGCCGCCTCACCTTCCTGGACCGGCAGCCCTGGGCAGGAATGTGTACTAGTGGGCAGACCAACGCTGAACAGGAGCATCCAGGCCCGTGGTCTTTCTGCGGATGGTTCCCGCATGCTTACTGCTGCTCTGCCCGCAACAACACAAGCACAGGCTGAGGCCCAGGCCCCTGGGGAAGCTGCAGATGCCCCGGAAGCCCCTCTGAAGACAGGCCAGCACCCCAGCCCCACCCACGGTGTGTTTCTGAGGCCTCTCCATGGCTCACTGCCTTGCTGAGTGCTTAGAGGCTTTCCACTCTACACTGGCTGAAGCCAAAAGAAGCTTTTGGTAAGGAGGTCAGAATGAGCAGAGACAGCTCCCAAATACACAGCTCAGCCCAAGGGAAGTGAAGTCCGAGTTCCCCGCAGTTGTGTATCCCCTGCCACTTAGTGTGGGTAATTCCAAGTCCGGAAGTCTAAATTAGCCCCAGGGCAGGAGTCTACAGAGGAGCCAGGGGACAAGGGAGGGTGGCAAGGCTGGTGCAGAGCCTTGCCTGCTGGGGAAGGGGCCTGGGTGGAGAAAGGGAGCTGCTGATGCCAACAGGGGTTAAGAGAGTTCAC